CGATTAATCGCATCCAAAATAAAAGTTTTTGTTTACATAATATATATGTGTGTACTGTGTATATTTATTATGTGTATATATAAAATAGAAATTATATAAATATAAATATATACATGTAAATATTTTCAAAATATATACTGTATGTGTGTGTATTTATACATACATAATAAATAAACACAGTACACACACATATATTACATAAACAAAAACTTTTATTTTGGATGCGATTAATCGTTTGACAGCACTAATAATATATGTATAAATTCTATTATGAGTAACGCATTAAATCTGTTGTGGATTTACTGTCAGGTCCCATTTAATTGGCATCGCCCCATCCTTCCATAACAGGCTCTTTGCAAGTCCTGAATTACACTGTCACAGGTTAACAAAAAGAATAACTATCAGGTCAGACTGAAATGCTTGGAGACAATTGTAAAAATAAACTAAAGCCACTTGTCTTTAATGCTGTGATCCCTCAGAAGGATATGGCCAAGGGGACAGGAAGCTTTTTGTTTATATGGTCACATGGTTAAATCATAACCATTATGATTTCTCAATGACCCATTTTGTAACTTAGTTTCAGTAATAGGTACAGCTGTCTATATAGTTTTTTTTATTTTTTATTTTACTTTTATTTAAAGGGAAAAAAAACCTGTTTTGCAAGATAGGGATCAACAAATGATTCCCTGATTCCTTGAAAATTTCTGAACTCTGAAACAACAGCTATAGCCTATGCATTAAGAGGGTCTCTAAATATCACGCCTCAGTCAAGCCCAAAGGTTTAGGAGGAAGAAGTCACAGAGAGTGGTTTCTATCTGACTATTAGTTGGCTACCAGAAATAAAAAATGTGCCTACATTTCTTTTAAAAAATCCCCAAATCTATGTTTGGGAATCAATGTACATATTGTTTATTATTATGTAATAGTAGGTTGCTATCATTATAACATTTTATTTTCTGTAATGTTAACGCGCCTGCTGATATCATACATGACAAGCATAAACAAATAACCTGAGAAGTGCAATAACGCAGCTTTTCTGTGTTGAGAGCAGCGCATGCGCACATCAAATTCTCCGAGTCAGATAAACTTTCATTTCCCACACGCGAATTTGTTTGCCACTTTCAGTCCCAGGAGTGCCTGGACCACGGTGGTAGAAATACGCGACACGACAGAAAAGGTGAGAACAAAAATTGACGTAGCATATCAGAAATATAAATAACGCGAGAATATATATAAACATGTCTACTTAACAAAACAGTACCAAACAGCAGAGTGAAAAAACGTTTTGTGTCATTGATACAGCTGCCGTTCGTTTGAGTGAAAACTCTTCCTCATACATTTTAAATAATATTCTTTGGTCTTTTGACGGTCATTGAACGTTTTCAGCTTTGGTTGCAACTTATAGCCTTCAATTTAACCTTCTAGTTAAGCGTGTTGTTTTAGAGGTATGTATTAAAACACGTCAAATGAATGAACTTTTTGTGTTCATGTTCAGGGCAAAAAAATGTGCATCGTATGATTGACCTATATTCAAAAATAGAAAGAAACAAAAAAGCTGTTTAGAATTTAAAAAAACACACACACACCAAAAACCAGGTCAAAGTAGCCATGATCTTGTAAGTTCAAGGTATCTTGTTGTCTGCTGGCCAATTAGTCTGGGATTCCCAGTCAACTAAGTAATTAAGTTATCATCAAAGGGAATTAGTTCCTGTATGAATGAAAGTCACTGATGGCTGTTTGTTTGGACTAATGCTGATGGAATTTTCATTTTTGAATTCAGGAGAAAGAGAAATTGATCTGCTTTATGGTTCCCTTAGAAATTATATTCTCTTACTTAGCATGTCATTGCAAAGCATACACAGGAAAACAAAGCCTGATTTCATTGAAGGAACCAAAATGAATATCTGGGTTTGCTGTAGCATAAAATTGATTTATTGTTTTAATGTCTGACATTACACATTCATCATTGCACCTTGCTTCCCTGCTCAATAGTTATGAAAAGTCATCATTGTTTTTAAGCACTTGTACAGTAAAGTGTTTGGTAGCAAATTGATTTGTGGCAGGTTGATCAAAATGATGTTCATCATTGTCTTGAGATCTGTAATAACAGTTTGGACTGCTGTTTTTTTAGACAATTTTCTTTAGTCTTAGTGCAATAGGTCTGAAAAAAATCCAACACGGTACAAAAAATGATTGGTCAGTTGTTGTTTTTTCCGTACTACTGTAAATTACTTCTAGCCTATTTTTTTCCTTTTAAAATAGATTGATCTTGACATTAAATATGCATATATGCTTGTATGAAAATAAAAATCAAACAAACAAACTGACAAGGAGTCTTTTTTTCCAGTCAAGTCTCTGAAATGGAAAACACAAACCTTGTGAAGAAGGTCAGTGTCTTGTTCTTTTCACCTTTACGTTTTTTTTGCTTTGTGTGACTCAGCAGTCCTTATCTATACAGTAATCATATTTTTCAGATGAATCCTTGACTCTGTGGGCAAACAGTAAAAAGCTTTTTTAGATCAATTGGTTGCCAGTAGAAAGAAAAGTAAATCATCTTTGGTGGAAATAAGTTTTTTATTACACTTAACAACTGTGGTTGCATCATGTCATTTGTATGAAATGTTTAAAGAGGAAACTGGTAGCATAATTCCACCAGTGACCATTGCTGTTATTTCTGGTTCATTTGTTTGTCAAATCTCTTTTCACAGTCATGCAATACTATAAAGACTGGCTTGCATTAAAATGACTTCTATTTTGTGATATGTTTATTCAGAAATAATTAAGATGACCTTTCTCAGATTAGGTGCAACTTAAATGGCTTGTATATGTTAGCTATTTTTAGGGAAGTGTTTTGTTTGACCTCAAATGGGTTTGTTGGCTGTGATGCAATAAAGTGTGTTGATTTGAGAAATTCCAACTGAATTACAAATTGGTGCCAAATACCCTCCAAAACTCCAGTTAGCGTGAAATGTGGGTGAAAGGGCAGAATCTGAATCAAACTGGTCTTAAAAAATGGTAAAAATTGTAACTCGTAAGGAGAAAAAGTACAAGCACGCTTTCTGCTGAGTTACTTCCTTGTTCAATTTGAACTGCTCATAAACACTTACTCTTACTTTTTCTCTAACTGCAGGAGTTTGTAAGTGTATGGGTACGAGATCCTCAGGTACACAAGGAGGATTTCTGGCATGCGTACATCACCTATGAGATCTGCCTTCATGTGAGTAGTACCCACGTGTTTGCCTTGCACTTACTACTGTGGAATGTTGCTATTCAGACTTTATATTCAGATGGCTTTCTGCCTATACATTTTCAGCATCACATGTTAACCAATGAGAGCATTAAGTTCACTGCATTTTCCTTGATTATAGACCAATAGTATGTGTTTCCGGAAGAAGACCTCTTGTGTGAGGAGGAGGTATAGTGAGTTTGTTTGGCTGCGTCAAAAACTACAGAACAATGCTGTGCTTATGTAAGTACATTTGAGGATATCACACTATGGGCAGTATTATATTTTCATTTACAGTAAAAAATACGAGAGTTTTTATTTCAAGTACCTCCATGTAAAAACTTGATTGTTCTTGGTAGAAGTGTAATTTCTCCCTTTCTTTGCTATTTCTGTAGAGAGTTACCTAAACTCCCTCCCGGGAATCCTTTCTTCAATCTCAATAGTGATTTTCAGATCACTCAGCGGATGCAGGGGCTGCAACAGTTTCTTGAGGCGTGAGTTTCTTCAGTGACTCTGTCATCATTTTTGATTAACTTGATTAAAGTGGGTTAGAAAAAAATTCCGACATTTGTCCCTAGTTTCACAAACAAGGCTTAAGCCTATTCCCAGACTAAAATGCATCTCTGTGCTGTTTCGACTGGAAGACACTTTCACTGACATATCTTAAAATAAGTCAGTGCCATTGTTTTGTCTCAAGATGCACACCAGCAATGTGTTTTTTCTAAGGCATGTTTATAAAAGCTACTTAAATGTCCTAATTTAACCTTGATGTCCTATATTGGTCAGTTCATACTGATCTCAGATTGGGATGAAGAAAATGCAGTATTTTTGCCATCTATTGGCTGCTGGGATGAAAAATTACTTTAGATAGTAATTTTTTTTTTACTCTAAACATAAGCATTTATTTCTTATATATTTTCACAATATTTAATGTAATAGAAAACATAGATATTAAAATATACATTTATGTATTTGACACCGTATTAAAATTGCCCAAGATGATTTAAATATTATAAGCAGTGTTTGTTAGAGTAATAGAGATTTATTAATTAAAGAAAACTTTCAAATATATACATTTTTTTGTCTTGCATATTTTTTATGGAATATAGCTTAATAATTTAAATGGGTTCTTTAAATAGCCTCATCACCAGTTTCTAAAAATGATTACACTGCATGTTTTTTAATTAAATGTTTGTGTTTATAGAGTTCTACAGACACCGTTATTGCTGTCAGACAGTCGACTGCACCTGTTCTTGCAGTCACAGCTGAGCATTGCAAAAATGGATGCGTGTGCACAGGGACAGACGCATTACACGGTTGCACAGGCAATCCAGCGATGTGTCGGGTATACCCGTTTCCCTGTGGAGGAACAGCATCAAAAAGAAGACCGCAAAACATGCTGTGACTCAGACTGTGAAAGGTGTGTGCCTCTGTCTCGCTATATAATAAACTTCCCCAGTGTTATTTAGATGTAAATTTCTTAAGATGGATTTGGCATGTTAAATGTTTTATGCATCTATAATCATGCCATGGCAAAACGTTATAACTGTGTATATATACATAAATGCTGAGAAGAATAGCCATTTTTGCCATTCAGGAATAAAAGGGGTATTGTAAGTTAAAATAATGTACAAACAGTACATTTAATATATACAAAAATTGCAATATGAATATTTGTATGCTATTTATTTCTTTTTTGCAGTACAACATCCTCTGGCTTGGGCAATAGTCTAGGACGTGCCACACCTGTTGAAGAAGACTCTTCCTATAATGAAAGCTTTTCCCATAAATTTCATGTCACAACCCCTGAGGCAGAACTCTGTAGCAGCCCGTCTTCATCTCCTAGCAACCAGTAACATGTGCACTCTCTTATATGAACTCAAGAGATGTATACATACACATCCACGCATACTCTGTCAAAAAGAGTTGCTGACCAGTTACTGCTTCGAGCCTCCAGAGTTATATTTGGATGGATATTGAAACAAAAAAGTGTCTTGATTATTGTTTTATTACATGTTGTGTTGGTGTCCATGATGTTTTGATGTTTTGTTTTGTTTTTAAATAGAGATATCTTTATTTAATTTTTGTGGTTATATTAAATAATCCTCCTTTACTGAAGGGTTGACCTGGAAAGAAAAAAAAGCTAGTGAAATACAGTGTGAGTGTTTTTCTTGATGCCGTCATTCAGGGAACACTGGGTTTAATGTGTGCCTGACAAAGAAGCTTTTTAAAACACTTAATCTGTATAGACATGCTTTTGTTTAACAGATTTTTTTAAAGTAAACTGGCAGGTTATTACTTTAAATGTTTCTTAAAAATTCTTATCATATTAGCATTCCTTAAAAATGAGTGTTGAGGACTGTAAATTTGTGAGGATGTTTTTTAAGTACATTTTTATTGTTATTTGGTGTATATTTAGCGTTAAATTAATTTAAAAAAAAATTTAATCCTAGCTACTCTGTCAAAAAGAGTTGCTGACCAGTTACTGCTTCGAGCCTCCAGAGTTATATTTGGATGGATATTGAAACAAAAAAGTGTCTTGATTATTGTTTTATTACATGTTGTGTTGGTGTCCATGATGTTTTGATGTTTTGTTTTGTTTTTAAATAGAGATATCTTTATTTAATTTTTGTGGTTATATTAAATAATCCTCCTTTACTGAAGGGTTGACCTGGAAAGAAAAAAAAGCTAGTGAAATACAGTGTGAGTGTTTTTCTTGATGCCGTCATTCAGGGAACACTGGGTTTAATGTGTGCCTGACAAAGAAGCTTTTTAAAACACTTAATCTGTATAGACATGCTTTTGTTTAACAGATTTTTTTAAAGTAAACTGGCAGTTTATTACTTTAAATGTTTCTTAAAAATTCTTATCATATTAGCATTCCTTAAAAATGAGTGTTGAGGACTGTAAATTTGTGAGGATGTTTTTTAAGTACATTTTTATTGTTATTTGGTGTATATTTAGCGTTAAATTAATTAAAAAAAAAATTTAATCCTAGTTGTGAATAGAATTTGTTGTTGCAATGTAAATTATGTAGATAGTTCTGTTGCCTAAAGATGATAATGTATTATCTAAATAAAAACCTAAACGCTAAATAAATTTGCAAATAGAGAAAGAGAATAGTTTCTGCTCATGGAAGTCACTGGAGTGATATCCAATGCATTCTATTCGTTAGAGCAACCATATACCAATAAGTTTGATCATTTTAAGTTAAAATCAGTATATGAGGGAAAAAATTAAGAAGGTCATTGGTGCATAAGAGAAAAATGGATATAACCATGCTCACTTGTTTGAAAGATTCAGAGTAGATGTTGCTCTTAACCTGGTCACACATGCTAAATGGTTGTCTTTTTTCCTCTCTCTTTCACTCTTCACTCACAACACAGCATTTTTCAGTATCTAATTGTAGTTTAAGAGAGAGATTAAGTTCTCAATAAATGAGGGATGAGGTTTTTGACAGAAATGTTTGGTTGAAACCGCTGGTCTGATTGGGGGTTTGTTCGATCTGCGTAGGTGTAGATTCATCAGCGTCTAGCAGCAGCCGATAAATACTTTCAGTATTGTCATCCAGATCACCAGACTCACAAAACCTCACCAATCTCTGCCACTGCCAATCACCGTCACTGTGGTACCAAGTAAACCAATATCCCATTATGTTAAAAAAATTTTTTTATATATATATATATATATATAAACTAAATTTAAAACAGAATTTTATATTTACTATGAAGTTTTAATTATATTTTAATATTACATTTTACACATGTATTTGTACAGGTTAATGATTGCATAGATAGATCAAACCAATATAAAGACTATATAGCCTAATAAAATTAAATATTATATAGGCTATATACAGTATATTTTATTTTGATAATATTTTGCATTGACTTATGAATACACACACACATAATATATTCACAATCATAAATCAATGCAAAAATCAAGCATTTGTTAAATGTTTCAATTACTCATAAAGACACCTAATTATCACTCTCATCTCCCAGTTCATCCTATGAACAACAATGCCATGCGTGTATATAATGTATCCAGAAAGAATCTGAGCACCAAATAAGTCCTTAGGGGCACGATGGGGGACAAAACTTGTCGCATGAGGAAATAAAACAAAAAGCCACCTCTACCTTCAAGTCATGGGTCACTAATCAGAAGCACTTAGGCAGAGCAGGGGTTGCTGTGGTGATAGTGGGATTGGGTGAGGGGAGAGATGGTCATTTATCACTGGCTGTTTCATAGTGAGGCTGAGCGGAAAAGACAGCACAGACTCTGCAGACAAACGACCAACAATAAAGAGAATTAATCAGCACTGATTACCTGACTCCCCACAGCCGATAATGGAGGCTTAGAGAAACAAAGAGAGAGGGAGAGGAAGGACGAAATATGGCCGGTAGGAAAGGCAGAGCCAGATCAGAAGAGCAAGAATGGGTTACAATAGAGTTCAGGGGATTCTTTCACTCTGAATGGACTCGCTCATTATTTTTCGCTTCGTTTTTCTGTTATTATATCAAATAAACCACTAAAATGAGTGACATGTCCCAGAGGCCAATAGCAAAGTCTTGTATTACCACTGAACGGCTGTCATTGCCTTGCGGTGCATCAATACGGTGATCAGAACTCAGCACGGGCTGATGGATTAAACAACTGAACGAATTGGATTCTTCTTGCTGTGCAACGCCAGCTAATCGTTCCCCACACACAGCAATAAAACGTACTTCCAGCACGGTCTCACGCTCATATTCTCTATTCAGCCCACCAATCATTGCCACATCTGATTCTGATATCTGAGATAACAAGCATTGGGCATTTATACTGGGTGTCAGGTAAGCTAACCATCAAGTAAAACAGAGACTGTGATAAATCAGCCACGTCTGCCCTTTTATACCCAATATCAGAAACTACATGAGGCCTATTGGCCAGATGAAGCATTCAGTTTATAAGGACGGTTCGTTTGTTTCAAATGCGAAGACTTTAATCTGTTTGAGGCTGGCGGTTTTTTGAAATACATTTATTCTGGAGTTCTGAATTATGTTTGTTATGATCGGCGTCTCATATTTTAAGGTTACATCAAAGCATGACCCCATTGTGATTACCCTTACCTGTCATGTTAATCATTTGCTTTGAAATAGCATGTGGCAGTCACTCCATCGCTGCAAACCTCCCATGAAGACTTCCCTGGTACTCATTGGTTAAACAGCCATAACCAGTCTAAATGAACTCTCCTTAATGGACCCTGATGGGTGAACTTAATCCAAACCCATGTTGCTACTGATCAACTGGGGAGAAGGAACAGATGGATTACTTTGTGTGTGCGTGTGCATGTGTGTTATATTGTGCAGTAATTGCCATGTTTCTCTGGTTTATTGGCTCTTAACCTTGGGCTGACAGCTACTGAGCAGGTGGGGTTTCTGTTGCTATGACAACGGCTCTGAGTTCAGGAGTGTGCTATACCCCACTGCAGCTTGGCCAAAATCACCCATAAAATAAAAGGCAAAGAAATCTAGAGTGAGTGAGAAACCAAACGCTTTACTTTTAAGGATTTAGTGGTTGTTTTAGAGGGCTGGTTTAATGGATGGGCCTACTTCCCCAGGGCCAAATGTGCGTAGACCTGTGTTTCCCAACATTTTTAGTCTTATCAGTGTGGCTCAGCTAATGTGTTTATTTGATTTCAGCTGATATTATATTAAATATGTCATTTAGCATTATCATTCAAGGAATCATACATTTGTAGCATAATATTGATTTCCACAAAATCATTTTTTAAAGCAAAAATCAAGATTGTAAGAGCTACAAGTTATTTCTTTATATAGATGTGGATTCAATCGTTGTGAATTTAATAAGAGTAATATAATAATATAAGTAATATCTTTTTTGTTCCATTTAATTTTGTTAATAGACATTCATAAGAGAGGTTAAACTTACACTCACATATTATGAAAAGGCATAGAAATATGACAAAATTAATGGATTGCTACCACAAGGGATACAATGAGGCACTCAAAATGGAAATAATTCAACCAAAGCAGAAATGTGACGCTTATCATTTTATAAAAGCACTGACATTGACTTTTCTGTTAAAATTGTTTATTAATTGAGCTGTTGTTCATTTTTTTTACATTGAAAAAAATTTATTGAATATTTCTATAATTTTCACACTACAATTATATACCTTTATGCTTTAATGTTTATAAATTTGCCCCATTCTCTTTCATTTAAAGTAGCAACCTGTAATTGTAAAAAACGTTAAAAAAAAGAGAGAAAAAACACATTTTAAATCTTCTGGCAATTAGCACTGTGCTGTCGACTGAGTTTATAACTTGTTTTGAATCTGGAATATTCCTTTATTAATCTGGCACCACTGGTTACCCAGCATGCTTTGCAGCTGTGGTCAAATCACACCAAATTTGATCTGATTCCTCGCTAGGACTGTAAAATGTTTCAAACAGTTTTAGGGAGTATTTGTAAATGATTAGGTTTACATTTCACTGTAATATTGCAAGTTGCATATGTAATATTACATGTTGCATAGGCAATATTAGTATGCAATATTATAACATGTATAGTATTAGATATAACAGTAGATTAAGAATAATCAAAATGTTTTTAAGAGCTTCAGGTTGGGAGCTCATTGGTTGTTTTTCATCACAGGCCTCAGTGTTTCTGGTTTCCCCCTGATGATGGCACTGGCTTACTTTTATTTACTTTGACTTTTTCCTTGCATAAAAATACTGATGAGCATTATCTTTAAGTGCAACTCAGACTCAGCTCTCATTAAAGAGGTTATAGATTCTATTACAGCTCCTCTTTGGCATGAGCAATCCCTCACACCGTATAACACAATACCCAATAAATACAAGTATATTTACAGCAGCTTTTATTGTGACAAACATTATTCTCATGGTTAGTTAATGATGTAACAAAGTGACTTGTAATGGCTGTTAGTCATGCACAGAAACATATTAATAAAAGTGTGCATGTTGCAGCTGCAAGGCAGCAGAATGTAATCTTATTTCTTATTTGATAATGAAAGAGGGAACGAGCGAGAGAGGGATACAGACAGAGGAAGAGCAAATGTGCGTAACCGACTGAGTGACTAATGGGGGAGAGAGGCCGAGGGACGCAGAGAGGAAAGGCGAGGGAGACCATCTGTTCTGCTCTCTCCTTGTTCTACCCCCTCTGCTTTCTAATAACTATCTCGCTTCACTTCAGATTCATGATGGGATGGACACACACATAAACATGATGCAGAACAGCCAGT